GCCCAAGGGACAACTGCTTGACGCCGGTCACGCACGGCCTTTTTATGGAGAGTTGTTTGAGTATTAGCTCTCCTCTTAAAGGCCCTTAGTGGACACCCTTACCACCAGAGACGGAAATTCGTGTGTAAGACTAGGAGTAGGTTGAAAAAAAGCTAGAGGCGGCCGAACCCAAAACATGGCATGGCATGTTAGTAGGTATAGACTTACTTACCAGGTTGGGGTCCACGGATCAGTTGTAACCGATGGTTAGATAACGTGGATGGAATGGCTGAAAATCGTTTGCAATGTCGGAGATGCATCCATTCCTTGTGTTATTCCAAATTGGAATGTTCCAAAGTCCTCATGACCTTTATCTTTATCTTCTCAAGTTTATTTCACTGTATTATACTCCTTGAACAATATCTTCAAACTCTAATCTTTCCGATGACTACTAATACTTCTACTACCTCTACTACTATGGGATTTAAATTGACAATTGCATCCGTCTGTGCTAATGTTGTGGTATGGCAACTTAGACTGATGTACGTACGTACGAAGGTTTATGTTGTTGCTGACTAGCTGAATATTCCCGTTGTGATTCTATTAAGTAGTACAATAGGTCAATCGCTGTTTGTATATTCACTAGCTTCCTGACGAGGTTACCTTGATGTTGAATTATAGGTTTTTTATTGGTTGGTAAAAGTAGATTTCAGCTAACCAGTGGAATTCAAAACGTGCATTTTGTTCCTATCTAATAATAATAATAATAATAATAATAATAAGTGAGACTCGTTAGTTTTGGTTCTAATTTTTGGTAAATATCAACACTGGGCTGTAAATGTATGCCCAGAATCAAACGTACATGAAATTTCCTATGAATCTGCGTTGATTGACTACTTACTGTCTTGTTCTTTTTTCTAGTGATCGAGTTCTAGGTAAGAATGGCAGATCAATAGATGAAGTAGTGAAAATTCACCATTTGGGGTGGTTGGGACATGTGTTACGTATGGCTAACCACCGACTGCCTCGACGAGCTATGTTTTGTGGTGTGATGGTAGTAGGTTGTAAGAAAGCTAGGGGCGGCCGAACCCAAAACATTGTAGAAATCCATGAAGTCACTGACAAATGAACTGAGTCATGTTGGTAGATGTAGATTATCTGGTTGGGGTCCGCGAGGCGATAGTCATCTATGATTAGAGACCTTGAATGACATGGCTCAGAATCGTTTGCAATGGTGCAGGTGCATCCACTCTTTGTGTTCTATGAAATTCTAACCTTCGGAATTCCTCATAATCTCTATCTTTCTCTTTACAAATTTATCCCACTGAATTATACTCTTCGAATCATATCTTCGCTCCCTAATCTTCTCGATTATTACTAATACTTCTACTATCGCTATCACTCTTGGATTTGAACTGACAGTTGCATCTCTGTGTGCTGATGTGGTATGGCAACCTGAACTGATGTACTTACGTACGAAGTTCTGCGTTGTATCTGTCTGTCTGTCTAATTGAGTTTTATCGATCAGTCTGAATATAGCAAAATCATTCTATCATACTTCTTAAATGAGAATATTCCCTAGTGGCCTGCTCGTAAATGTGAACTATGTGTTACCTAACATCAACACTATCTCAACAAGTTATCACATTTTGTTTGTTTTCACACATCAATCATGTCTGATAATCATCACATAATCTAGTCAGGTGCATACGACCTATCACTTCACAAGGTACAAAATTGTACAACCCGAAACATTGCAGTGGTTGATCATATATATATATATATATATATATATATATATATATATATATATATATATATATGTATTGAAAAGGAAACTTGTTGAAATGTTCCTCCATTTTAAAAAATTCCATATTGTAGGATCCAAACTGATTGGTTTGGACTGAGGAATAATTGTCTAGGTAGCTTAGAGACGCGTTTTGACCAGTTTAAATCCAAAACAAGTGTTTAGGTAAATGACAGTTCTAATATTCATCATAAATATAAATATATACATCATTACCTAGACTAATATTACCACTCAGTTATTCCACCAATAATTGGTCAATTATCCAAAGAAATGATATTCTATCCCTCCTGGATAGATCAGATTCGTTCAACAGATAATAATATTTGGTTACTCTATAACACAGACTGTTTCCTATTCTGGAAGAGTGCTTCAATTCACAATCAAAATGCGCAATTCCAGTCCAAGCAAGCAACACAATCTAAAGAGGAACAAATCAATATGGCTGTCACCATGTCTAAGTATCAGCTTAAACAACATAAATGCAATTCAGAAAGAAAAATTGAAACTCAGTAGAAGGCACAAAAGAAATAGAAACTATAATCAAAAATACAAATATTATCATCATCTCCGAAATGAAATCGAACAGATTAAACAAAATGTACAACTGAAGGAGAATCAATTAAGGACAAATTACAAATGTATACAACATAAAGGAATTTTCATAAAACAAACTTACTTACTTACGCCTGTTACCCCCAATGGAGGAGCATAGGCCGCCCACCAGTTTTCTCCAACCAACTCTGTCCTGGGCTTGCCTTTCCAGTTCTGTCCAATGTTTGTTCATTCCTCTCATATCTTTCTCTATTTCTCGGCGCAGTGTGTTCCTTGGCTTTCCTCTTTTGCTTTTGCCTTGAGGGTTCCATGTGAGGGCTTGTCTTGTGATACAGTTAGGTGCTTTTCGTCATGTGTGTGTGTCCTATCCACCAACTCCACCGCTTCTACCTCATTTCCTCCTCCACTGCAGGAATCTGGTTTGTTCTCCTATCACAGTACGTTGTTGCTGATGGTGTCTGGCCAACGAATACGAAGTATTTTGCGTAGATAACTGTTAATGAATACTTGTATCTTGTGGATAATGGCATTCGCAGTTCTCCAAGTTTCCGCTCTCATACAACAAAGCCTTCAAAATGAAACTGATCTTACATTAGTAGTAAGTAGGTATAATAACATTGTAAGAAAGTATGTTTTCATATACAGATAGAATAAACCTGTTTCCACTCAGATTATGTCGTTCAATTTAAGTAATACAAGTTGTTATTAGTCAGATAATGTAGTTAGTTATCACCCGTGAGTGGATTCAACTTCATTCAAATATCAATTTTTGAACAACCAATGGTAAGCATGATACCCTTGAATGAAATGGCTGAAAATCGTTTGCAATGGCACAGATGCATCCATTCGTTGTGTTCTCTCAAATTCTTAACTTCTGAATACCTCTTCACCTTCCTTTATTTGCCCTGAACCTGTTTGATTCACTTTCATACTTCTACTACTATGGAATTTGAATTTACAATTCGATCTCTGTGTGCTATTGTGGTATGACAACTTGAACTGGCAGTATGTACGTACCAAGTTCTATGTTGTCGGTTGACTGACTGAATATTAAGATTTTTCAGTTAGAGATATGGAGATTAGTGTTTCTACACATTTTGAAATCATCAGTCAGTCATTGTTAGAACATCATTAGATACCTGGATGACCGTTTCGTCCTGGTATGAGACTCGTCAGTGGTAGTGCGTAACCATGACTCCTGCACCTGGCAGGATTTGGACCCACCACCTTCGGTCCTGCGCGCGAACGCCTAACCTCTGGACCACTGGGCCGGCATCCAACGGTGTTATTGTCTAACTCTGATTGATCTAGGGATTTTGCGCGACCTCACTCATTTGCCTTCGGTAGTTACTGCCTACACCCGACAGGGTTGAACTCCATTGGTCACGTCTTCTCATTACTAGAACTCCGAGAATTTCCTCACGAAGCTAGTCACTAGTGAGCACTGTTACGATATTTTCGGGCAGAGTTTTTGGAGGTTTGTGTTTTTACACCGTCGGATGCCGGCCCAGTGGTCCGATGGTTAGGCGTTCGCGTACCATACCGAAGGTCCAGGGTTCGAATCCTGCGAGGTGCAGGATTCGTGGATGTGCACTGCTGACGAGTCGTATACCAGGCCGAAACGGCCTTTCAGTGCTTCCAGGTTTCTAATGATGGTCTAACACTAATGATTGATTGATGATTTCAAATGTGTAAAAACACAAAGCCTCCATAAATCTGCCCGAAAAAAGCAGTTTTATCTAATAAAGTCACAAAAAATTAAGGTTATCAAAGCGAAACAAGACTTGTCATTATTTCATTTTGGATAAATAAATCCGACTTAAGTTTTTTTTTATTGGAGCAGCTGTAGTAGTAAGTAACACGTGACCATTCGAATTGCTTTGTTTTTATTGACAATTTTGAAAAATTTCAAGCAGATGATGAGCTACTACTATTGTGGATAATTGAAAAGCTTTTATCCCCTTTTAGTTCTTAACTTTTCTGAAGTATATGCAGAGGTGTTACGCCTGCACGTAAACAGGTCAACTTGATATATATTTGAACTAGTACGAGTTTACCTAGTCGGAAACGAGAGCGAGGATCCGGTGACACGACATGTTACTCAAATCCGATTATTACAACCCCCATATTTAGTAAATAAGAATAAGAAGACTCGATATGAAGTAGAACATGTATTCTACAAGCATTCAGAAAGTACGAGGTCTGAATCCAGAAGAGAATCAGGATCCCGGACTAGGGATCCGGGACCGAGCCCTGGTCCTGGTCGTGGTCATAAAACGTTACAGATAATGCGTATTTATACATTTCGGTCGAATAGGAAACAGCATCGAATTCTGTGGCATTGACAGTTAAGACGACCAATAAGAAACAACATTGAAGTATTTGACTTTGACAATTAAAACGACCATAATTTTGACCAATAGAAATCGACTAATGGGAATTGACCAATAATTCTCTTAGGATATTGGATGAATATCCTAACAAGAGGTGCATCGAAAAGAACAGAAATTGGGGTTTTTCTGTCCTTATCCTCCAGTTTACATGTATTTGCCAAAGCACCCAGCATCGGGAGAATAGAACAAGAAGTGAGTCTTTATCGGCATTTTGTTGTTTAACTGAGCGTAAAAAAGCGACAACAGTCATTTGTTCGGTGTAGATGCATCCGCCGATATCGAAATCGAAAGACATTTTTACTCAAGATTACAATGTTATGAAATCTATTCTATGAGATCGTGGAGAAAACTTGTAGCTCAGGTGGATGACTGTGGTGGTGTTTCGTTCTCTGAGCTGGTTGTTTTGGTTGTGGAGCTTTCATTGTTCTTCTTCTGAACAACATCATCAGCACAAACTTCAGATAGCAGAAGTGAAGCATTCGAATTTCTCCACGTTTGACCTGTAGCTTGTTCTGCTAACCTCGATCTTGATTGGTTGCGCTGTTGACCTTGAGCATGTCGTTGTTTACACCTTCGTTTTGATTGCATCCCCCTTTTGAACTGTTTCTTGATTCTATGTTTGCCTATGATTTTTCTGATTGGTTGATAAATTGGTTCAATGTCGAATGCTTCACTTCAGCTATATGAAGTTTGTGCTGACGAAGTTGTGCAGCAGAAGAACAATGAAAGCTCCACAACCAGCTCAGAGAACGAAACCCCATCACAATCTATTCTATTCTTTCATATTTTTCTTTCACCAAAATATCCCTATAGCCAATGAATTTGATTTTTTTCATTTTCAATTATTAGAAAGAAAAATCTGACAATACTTCGGTTCAACAACAACAACAAGACACACCGTCTGTCGCCTCTTCGTCCTCTACTTCTTCTCCTTCGACTACCGCTTCTACCAGCAACCAGATTACTACTACTACTGCCACTACTACTACTACTCATGTGTTACAAAGTAGTAATGAGAGCAGCAGTAGCAGTAACAAATCAATCAGTTCAGATCAACAACACAAAAATCAACCAATCACTGAAGAGATTTCTTCATCCAGCTGCATTGATAAACCACTAGACAATAATAATAATAATATTCAAAATCAGGATTCCATTGAAAAACCAACATCACAGACGACAACAACAACAACAAACTTACACGAACACAGCACTGCATCGAACACTGATGATCGATTGGCGAATAATACACTAACAAAAACCGATGATAACAGTAATAGTAGTAGTAGTAGTAGTACAGAAATGAATAAAAACACAACACACAAAATACAAACTGATACTACTGATGAATTAGTAGTACACAATAGAACAGCAGTACCGGCGGTTGGTCGATCAGTCAACACGTCGAACCGTCATGCTCATGTTGTATCAAGTCAACACACCAGACAATCTACATCACTTGTTCAATATCATACTGCAACAGTATGCGCTGTCGGTGTAGCTATCGCTTTATTCATTGTTGTTATACGTCGACTGGCAATCATCTTGCAAGATGCTTAACTAAACGACAGAGAGAGGGGAAAACACAAACTCGATATCTTTTTGTGTTTATATTAGCAAGCTATTTTTTTTCTGTCAATGTTCATTTTGAACAACACTGTTCAATTTTATTTGAAAACTGCCGCCTTCCTGTTTTTTTTGTTTTGTGATTTGTTTTGGTTTTTTTTGTTTTAATTTTTGTCATTGTCAAGTTGAATATTTAAATATCCCTCCGATTTTTTTTGAAATTCCAAAATGATAAATTTAAACAAAACAACATTGAGCATTTGATCATGTATTTATTTATTGCCTTAGTTTGTTTAATGAATGAATGAATGCTTATTTCCTTGATTCATGGCTTCTCACTTCTTCATAACATTGAACATGTAATATGGCGGGTGATTTTTTGTTTAAAACAAATTACTGATTATTTGATTTAAAAAAAATGCAACTTGCGTTGTGTTTATGATATTTATTTATCATAAATAATAACAGTAATAATAAGTTAGTGTAATTATAAAGTGATTTTGACAACATTTGTTATTTGATGCGAAGAGGTCTTTTTCGCTTGATCTTAAGTAGTTTGTAAGTGATATGTTCGTCACTACTAGGTATGCTTGAGGCTATTACAAGTTTACCTTAGTCGATAAACGCGAACGAGACAATGAACCAGCATGCAGATAGGCTACCTTGAATCCCAAGCGGAAGTAAGGAGGATTTGTAAGCGTAGAAAGTATGTTCTACAAACACCCAGCAAGCACAATGAATCTCAAGCACACAATTCTCGTTTATTTGCACATCATAGAAACGTTCTTGAGACAGTTATGAAAATAGCACACTAAGATACACAGCGGCCAATCACAGCCATGGCTTTTCCTGGTGGGAGATGAAATCTCAAGATTAACTGATCAGCCCATGCTGGCAAACGTGAAATCCAAAATAAGGCATTTAACAAGCGAGTTTTAGGGATCTCACATCCCCAACACTCCTCCCCTTTTTAATAGCGTGTACTCCTGGGGTCGACTTGCATCTTGATTGTCGTTCGACGCTGTCTGAGAGGATGCCTTCGGGAACGAAGAACAGCTTGCTGCTGAGTTTCTTCTCGTGGCGGAGCTGCCGGTAGCTTGAAGGTATCAAGCAAGATGTCAAGGGGAAGGCTTTCTGCTCTTGATGGGTGATCTGGGGCTAGCCGTCTGCGTATCTGATTTCGATGACGTGACCATTTATCACCTCCTACCTCTACTTCGTACATAACTCGACCAACTCTTCTAACCACTCTCGCTTCTGCCCAAGGACCACGGTTCGTTCTGTAGTCACGGGCAAATACAGGGAATCCGACTTCGTAAGCGGATTGCCTTTGCGGCTTTGTCTCTACTGATGTGGGTGCATCAAGCTGTGGATCGTTTTCAATCTTCTTCCCACCAGGATTTCTGCTGCGGACTTTTGCTCTGGTAACAATTCATTTGTTGTCCGATAGACGTACAAGGAATTTTGTAACGCGTCGGCTGGTTTCCCCTCCCCTTTTGCTCTTTTAAACGTATCCACAAACCTTTCCGCCTGCCCATTCGATTTCGGGTGGTATGGTGGCGAGCGTAAGTGTTTAATGGCTAGCCGTTGACAGAAAGTCTGGAATTGGGAAGAGGTGAATTGAGAGCCATTGTCGGATACGATCACATCTGGTATGTCGGCAAACGTGAAATCCAAAATAAGGCACTTAACAAGCGAGTTTTTGGGATTTAACATCCCTAACAGTACGTAAATAAATTGAACTATACAGTCAGTCAGTCAGTTATAACGTAGAACTTCGTATGTAAGTATATCAGTTCAGGTTGCCATAACACATCAACACTGAGACGCAACTGTCAGTTCAAATCCAAGAGTGATAGTGATAGTAGAAGTATTAGCAGTAATGAAGATGATTAGGGAGCGAAGATATGATTTGAAAACTATAATTCAGTGAGATAAATTTAGAAGGTTAGAATTTCATAGAACACAAAGAGTGGATGCACCTGAGCCATTGCAAACGATTCTGAGCCATGTCATTCAAGGTCTCTAACCATTGGTGAATTTCGTCTCGCGGACACCAACCAGGTAGCCTACTACATCTACCTACATGACTCAATCTACTTGTCAGTGACTTCATGGATTTGTGTCATGTTTCGGTTTGGCTGCCCCTACCTTTCTTCTAACCTACTCCTACACCACAAAACATAGCTCGTCAAGGCAGTCGGTAGCTAGGCCTACGTAACACATATATATCCCAACCACCTCACATGATGAAGTCACACTACTTCATCTATTGATTTGCCATCCCTACCTAGAACTCGTTTCCTTACGACAGCATTGCTTATACATATAGTTGTACTGTATTTTTTTTGTACTCAACAATGTGCATATGTATACATAAAATTCGAAAAACAAAAGTATTTGTGAACAAGACAAAATGTCAACAACAATTCATTCGTATGTTTTTGAAGTTATTAATTTCAAGAATAAACTTTAATAATTCAGCTTAGGCATTATTCTTCCCGATCGTAGCTTGCTATCTTAACGTAGTAGTGGTCGAGCTTGCCTATCGTGATGACCTAACCAAGCTTTATTGTTGGCTGGAACATATTTTCACTTAGGTTCTACTATGCTAGGAAGGTTGACTGAAGAATGGTAACAAAATATGCAGCATCTGAAGATCTGAGGGCGAAGTCGTACTGCTGACTGACTGCAGAGGGGTGTGACAGCAGTAAGGTGTTTCCCTCGGACAACTAGTATCTGCAGCGATACCGCTTTCTCACAAGAAAGAAGGAGGTTAGAAAAGATCGACCGCCGTAAAAATGTCACACCTTACCTTACTTGACGGATTTCCGTCTCCGGCGGTAAAGCCTCTTAAAAAAAAGAGCGGAGATAACACTTCGCAAACTTGCCATAAAATGGCCGTGAGTGACCGACCTCTAACAATTGTACCTTGGACTCTGCGGTCACGCTCTCAGACCAACACTAATCCTATTTCCTTTTCAGGTTCCTCATGACACTCTTCTACAGTGTGGGCAACTGGCAAGTAACATCCGCCCTCATACCTATAACAGCACACGATATCAAATCGGTCACAATTAAATTTGATGTTATGCTGTCTTAATCGTGGTTTAAATCAAATTTTATTAATGAAGGGAATTTGTAGAGATTGAATTATTTTCATGGTCGAAATTACGAACTGATTAAAGTTAGACTAACATTAGAAACCTGGAGGCACTAGAGAGCCATGTCATTATAGTATAGGTAGTAGAAGTATTATCTGTAATGGAGGAGATTAGGATTCGAAGGAATTATTCAAGAAGTATAATCCAGTGAGACAAATTTGAAGAGACAAAAAGGTCACATGGAATTCAGACGATTAGAATTTGAGAGAACACAACGAGTGTATGCACTTGCCCCATTGCAAACGATTTTGAGCCATGTCGTTCAAGGTCTCTAACCATTGGTTACTATCATCTCGCAGACGCCAACCGAGTAGTCTGCATTTATCAGCATAACACAGTCTAATTGCCAGTGACTTTATGGGTTTCTGCCATGTTTTGGTTTGGCCCCTTCTAGTCTACTCCTATATCACAAAATATCGCTGGTCGAGGCAGTCTTTGGTTGGGCATCTGTAACACGTTTCACCAACCACCTCAACTGATGAACATTCACTACTTCATGAGTTTATCGGCCATCCTTACGTAGTATCATTTTCCTAACCCCATGATTGCATACTCCATGGTCCCAGTGCCCATGATCGAATACTAGTAACTGACGAATATTCTCTACTCTGACTGGCCATGTTTGGAAACCATAAAGTAGAACGAAGAGACCTGCTGCGTAGTAGACTTGTCCTTGAATCAGCAAACGGATATCAGACCTGGGTCATAAGTGACGCAGGTTGGCAAAGCCAATAGAACCTTCTGTATCCGTGTTGAGATTTCGTCACACACTAGGCCATCAGCACTGATGAGACTCCCAAGATAAGCGAAGTGGTGAACACGCCCAGCTGCTTAACTCCCTATCACTAGTTCAGATGCTGATACAAGCCAACCTTGAAGCGACATTTTGCACTTCGACGGGGAATAATTGCAACCCGAACATGATTGCATTGTTGATTACGGTGGTTGGAAGACTGCATTTTGTCAGTGTATTAGCCTAACAGAACTATATCAACTGCATATTCTAAGTCTATAGGTGAATCTTCCGGCAAAAGTTAAGTTCCTGAAAAGTTATACGATGAAAGTGTCGTCTCTAAGAGCATGTCAATAACAAAGTTAAGAAAGAATGGAGTGGACAACCATAACGAACAGCACTCGAGGTAAGAAATGCGGATAAAAGTTCACCATAAGCTCTCACTCAACCAGTAGTTTTCGAGTAGAGAGCCTGTATATGGTTAATGTACTTCTTTGGTACTCCTTTCAATGAGAAACTGCCTCAGAACTCCACGACCGGCAGTCAGATGCCGCCTTAAGGTCGACGAATACAACTATTTTGGGACGTCTGAAACTGCGTCTAGGTTCTAGGACCTGACGAAGTGTGAATATGTGGTCCATATATCCACGTTTGAGACTAGCCTTGTTTTCACGAGCTGTAGTTAAGCGTCGAATTACTATGGAGGTTAATATTTTAGACACTATATTAGTTAAACTGATCCCTCTATTGCGTAAACTATCTTTCAACGGGATGAATATAGCTTGGTGACAAAAAATGCAACATACAGGAAGCTACATAATGCATCTACGTTATAGGAACCGATTATAAATTGTGTCCATTAAGGCATCTAATTACATACTACGATTATCTTATCGAAACCAATAAATCTTCACTAACCAAAACGACTCATGACATAAATAATGAATTCTCAACACAAGGTTATGAAGATTGTTGAATTCCATTGAAATCATGCTTCAATGAATGTTAGACCACCAGTAGAAACCTGGAAGCACTGGAGCTCATCGGCAGTGCTCGTCCACGACCTCTGGTCGCAGGACTCGAATCGAGGACCTTTGGTCTCGCGCACGAACGCTTAACCTCTAAACCACACTGAGCCGGCATCCAAACGAAATTAGTTTCTAACTTTCATCAATCCATGGTCTTGCACAACCTCATCGATAGTCTTCAATGGGCAACCCAACGATCTCGGGTTCGATTTCCGCAGGCAGATGGTCATAGATGTACAATGCTGATGAATCCCATACTAGGACGAGACAGCCATCTAATGATTCCAGGTTTCTAATAGTGGTCTAACATTGGTCAATTTGTGATTTCAACAAATAATAAATGACACATTATGAACTGAGACCAATTCAACTGACCTCCCCACATATCAATCAATACAAGATATCAGTCGATTAGTTGATAAATTTTCACACGTCTTACCCTAATTATATTCAATATAATTAAGAATA